CCGGCGCCCTGCTGGCACGCTGCAGCCGGGCGCCGTCAGGGGTGCGGCTCCGGGCTCCCCCCTGCGAGGACAGGGGCCACCTACACCAGCCTGGGAGTCCCAGGAGGGAGTCCTGGCCTCGAGGCCGACCGAAGCTAAGGGGTCTGCCAACTGGGGGACTGAGCCGATGCCCAGAGGTGCCCACTCCGCTCTGAGAAGCGTGCGGAGACGAGCAGGAGTTCTCCAGCAGCGCCTTGCCCCACAAGTGCCAGGCGCTGGACTTAGGGACAGCTGGACTATGCCCAGAGGGGACTCTAAAGGGGCCCGGGCATCCTTCCAGAGTGGTCTGTATCCCTTGCTCCCATCCTTCCCCCTGGCATTCCCTTCTCCCTAGCCAAGTTTTTGTTAGGGATTGGAGTTCTTGAGAATCTACTGAAAGGAAAATGAATGAGCTGGAGAGTTGGCATGAACCTGGAACATGTGGCCCTTGTGGTCCGTGTTGCTTTCAAAACTGCCTCTCTATAGTCTCAGGGCCATTACGGGTTATTTCGCTGTGGGGTGGGACGGGCGGTCATGGAGTATTTTCCTGGTAGACCAGGCGGCTTCCATGTAGAAACAGTGTTGTTAGGTTTCTAGGGACATGATTCCACACCGAGTATGTCCCAGTATCTAGAAAACAGCTGTTATAAGGCAGTCGTACGTACTGTACTTAGTAATAGACTATGTCGAGGTTGTCGTGTCTACTCAGAGGTAGAGTGGCTTTTCTGGTAACAGCGAGGTCTCCTTGGTGGTCACAGTTTCTCTGGAATTGTGTTCTTCTAGGATTTTAGGGATCTTGGCCGTGAAAGGTATCTAAGTAGATAAATGGTCTGTAATCTTGGAAGTCAGCTTTAAATAGCCCCCCCCCCCCCGCCCTTATATCTTTGAGTGCCTTAAAACTGTATGCTCAGGTGCCTATGCCCAAGAATATTCTATTCCTTTCCTTTTCACTCCGGATTTGGCAACTTAACTCTCATTCAGGAGTTGACAGGAGATACCCTTCCTGGACTGCCAAGCAGGGCGTCTAGAGGCGCGGAAGTTGGCAGCATCCCCACTCAGCACTTGTTTTCACTCACACCGTGTCCAGAGAAGATGGTTAACTGCCCTGGCATGCATGCAGAGAAGGAGGTTCTGAGAGCAGGCTTGGTCTCCTGGGACTGCTGTTTTCACAGATCCGGTGGCACAAACGACAGAAATATATTGGTGTTCAGTCCTGGAGGCTAGAAATCAAATCAGCTGTGTTGGTATCTTCTGGGGCTCTGGGAGAGAACCTGTCATGCCGCGCGCTCCTTCAGGTGACTCCTGGCAAAGCCTTGCTTTCCTTGGCATATCGATGCATTTTCACATAGGAAATGCGCTCTGGTTCTGTTTATAAGGAGAGTGCTCGTGTTGGATTAGGACGCCCCCTCCTGCGGTATGACTTCATGTTAATTTAATGGGAAATACTTTCAAACCCAGTTTCTACACGTCACATGCACAGGTATCAGGATTTAGAACTCCAGCATTTCTTTGGGGCAGGAGAGGGACACAAGTACCCTCGTCCAAATGAATTTGCCCATCCTGATGTCATCAATAGGGAGAAAGACAGGGCTTTCTACTCTAAAAAGTTACAGGCTCGGAAAATCACGGGGGCAGGTCACCCTGTCCGGTGGGGTCCCTGTGAGCCGGCATGGCCTCGATGGCAGTGAGCTTGGTTTTCGTGCCGTTAACTGTCAAGACCCTTTCTTCACGAAAACTGAGGCGAGAACAACCCTCACCGCTACTGAGGCGATGCTGACTTACCACATCCCCTGAGGACAGAGTAGAACTGCCCCTGTGGGGTTTTGAGACAATAACTCTTTCTTCACGAAAAGCCATTTGAATTCATTCAGGTTCCATCCACATGGGGAAATGACTGACAGCATCTTTTTTTTTTTTTTTTGACAACGTCTTGAAAGTCAAATTTTTTAGATTCAAGGGATTATGTGTCTGGTTACAAGAGTTTGGTAACTTGCTACCAGGTGGTGGTACTTGCGTACTTCACTTCTTATAATCGCCACAAATGTGATTTTTCCTGCTCACGGCACCCACTCTGCCGCTGTGAGGTGTCATGGGGGGCTCCCCCTCACAGCAGTCCTCTGCACCACAGAGCTGCACCACAGTCCTGAGCCCTCCTTGCAAAACAAAGTGGTTAGGCTTGAGCCCATTGCTGTGGCCACTGTGCCAGTCCACCTTGCTGGGCGTCGTCTTTGTTCGTCACTGACCATCTACCAAGTGTAATGTC